CGATTCTATCGGTCCTGGTATGAAAATTGTATCACCGGGGCGCATGGCTGGAATCCCTGTCATTGCAGTGACAGGAGCCACTCCACCCAGCGACGGGGACGGAGTATGATTGAGCACCATCTGCACGATCTTCACTACTCTAGGCCATTCCCGAGGTTGTAATTTCCATTCCGAAAGGAGAGCCCTGCAGCAGCGCAGCGTCTCTCTCATCACCACTTCTACAGTTCCATTCGCCCATGGGCATCGAGCCGTGGTGAAGTGGTGGTGGGCCCCTAACGCATGCTGGAGCGCCTCAATGGTCTTATTTTTAAAGTGCGTGCCCTGGTCACTGACCCAGGTGCGGCACACACCGAAACAGGAAAACCAGTCCATTAAACAGTGAAAAGTAGTCTCGGCATCCGCTGCTTCACATGGCAGCAGCCACACAAACTTTGACGCGTCGTCCTTAATGACTAACACGTACGTTTCACCGGTTGTACTGCTTCCCATGTACAAGTAGTCCCAGTGAATCAGCTCGTTGGGCCGCTCTGCGTGCATCGCCTCCCCCAGAAGACGAGATTGGGGCGGTCCACCCAGAGTACTTGCACAATGTAGGCATCGACGAACAAAAAACGCAATGTCTTTCTCGATGTCTTTCCAGACAAACTCAGCAGTCACCCTTTCCACTGTAGTTGCAGCGCCACGGTGACCTGCCACGCCAAAATGACCCACCACGCAGATACGTACTTGGAGTTTTACCGCTTCGTCTGGGATCCAAACTCTGCCTTTATCATCTGTCCACAATGCATTGGTCTCTGAGCGAACCAAGTCGCTTGGTCGTGGTGCTGCATCTTGTGCAGTAGCAATGTCCACCTGCGCCGGCCAGACAAAGGTGTCATCGAGCTGCGGAGAAAGCGGCAAGTCAACTTGTCGAATCGCGCACACTGTTTTGAAAGACGAACCCCATCTAGAAAGTAGGTCGGCCCAGACACTTTCCTCTCCAGAGATGTCATGGATGTCGTACTTGTACGCCATCAATAACATCGACCAGCGGTGCAGCTTATCTGCTGTGTATCGTGCAACAGACGTAGAAACGCTATGTGGATCAAATATGTACCGCAGGTTCCTGTGGTCTGTAAACAAGGCGAATCCGTCCGGGCGATGCAGTAGATAGTCCGCACGACGGCAAGTTTCAATGATAGCATAAGCTTCTTTCTCCACAATGGCCCACCGCTTTGCAGAGCCTGAGAAGGTTCCGCTCAGCATCAGTAACGGCTCGTGATCTTGTTCACTAAGTGGTCTGCTAGCCATCTCGGGAGAAATCTGGGTTATTGCGGCGCCCCAATGTTCATCACTTGCGTCGGTATAAACTGAAAGACGTCTTTCGGGGTTCGGGTGTGCTAGCTGAAGCGCATTTTTCAGTGCCTCTTTGCACCGCTCCAGACAAATGGCTTCTGTACTTCCCCAACCTGCCTCACTGAGCTGAATCTTCCTTACTTGGTTCTTCTTACGTCCTCCTGCCTGGCCATATACTTTCTCCATCAACTGTGACAGAGGGGCCACCAATTTATTGTATGCTGGAATTGCGGTGCGCATCCAATTAAGCGCACAGATGAACTGTTGTAAATCCTGACCAGTACGAGGGGGTGGAAGGTTCGCCAGCGCAGCAAGTCGTGCTGGGTCATGTCGTACTCCATCACCGGACACAATACGTCCACACCAAAGTGCTTCACGCTGGTAGAACGAACATTTTTTAGGGTTTAACTTTAATCCCTTCTCCGCACAAATAGTCAACACGTTCTTTAGCAAGCCAAGCAGTCCCTCATCGCTGCTCTCATAACCCAAAAGATCATCAATCCAAATGAGCAACCCATTGTTAAACACTTCAGCAAACATCTCTTGAACTGTTGACTGCACATACGCCACGCTATTCGTGCCACCCATAAGTACCCGAGTAGGTGTTATGACCCCTTCCTCTGTGAGAATGGAGTAAATTTCCTGACACTCCACTGCCATGGCAAACTGCCAAAATCCCTTAAAAAAGTCTAGCGAGAAATATCGTGATGATCCA